CTCTCACCCCCCCCTCTCTCCGCCCCCCCCCTCCCCCAGCTCTCACCTTCCCTCCCCCATCCTCCACCGGCTCTCACCCCCATGCTGTGCCCACACAGACAACCTCTCCTACATCGAGCACATCTTTGAGATCTCGCGGCGCCCGGACCTGCTGACTGTGGTGGTGGAGTACCGCACCCAGGTGCTGAAGATCTCCGAGGAGGACGAGGTGGACACCAAGCTGACCCGCATTCCCAGCGCCAAGAAGTACAAAGGTCAGAGCCCCCCCTACACACACAAGGGCAAGACCATCCCCCACCCATGGGACACGAGACCCCAGGCTCCCTCCCCTCAGGGTTTGGCTGGGGCGTGAGGTGCCCCCAGCGTCCCCTCTTGAGTGCTGCTGCAGGGATGGCAGGAGACATGGGGCGCTGGTCCCTGACTGGGGTTATTGGCAAAGGCCAGACGCTGGGGAGAAGGGTGTTTCCCAGCAGCCAGGGCACGGGGGAGCAGTGTGAGAGACTTGGGGCAGGGTGTTTGTGGGGGAATGCAGAGCGACAGTAGGGTTGGCAACTTCCTATTAGCACAAAACTGAACACCCTACCCCACCCCTTCCCTGAGGCCCTGTCCCCACTCACTACATTCCTCCTCCCTCAGTGGCTTGCTCTCCTCCGCCCTCACTCACTTTCACTGGGCTGGGGCAGGGGGTTGGGGTGTGGGAGGGGGAGGGAGGGAGGGCTCAGGCTGAGGGTCGGGGCTGAGGGATTCGGAGTATGGGAGGGGGCTGTGGGTGAGGCAGAGGGTTGGGGTGTAGGAGGGGGTGAGGGCTCTGGGTTGGGGCTGAGGGGTTCAGGGTGTGGGAGGAGGCTCTGGGCTGGGGGTTGATGTGTAGGTGGGGTGAGGGCTCTGGGGTCCAGGAGGGGGGAAGCTCCATGGTGTGCACTGCTCTTGCCCGCAGGCACCGCCCCACCAGCTCCCATTGGCCGGAAACCGGCCAATGGAAGTGCAGAGCTGGTGCTTGGGGCAGGGGCAGCATATGGAGCTCTGTGGTCCCCCTGCCCAGGAGCCGGACCTGCTGGCTGCTTCCGGGGCGCAGCGCAGTGCCCCAGGCCAGGTAGGGACTAGCCTGCCTTAGCTGCGCAGCACTGCCAACTGGACTTTTAACGGCCTGGTTGGCGGTGCTGACCAGAGCCGCCAGGGTCCCTTTTCAACCGGGTGTTTCTGTCAAAAACCGGACACCTGATCACCCTAGGCAACAGGCACTAGGGAGACAGGGCTGGTCTTTGCCACAGTCTTTCTGCCCACCCCACCCCCCCTCACTGCGATAATCCCACCTTCCCCTCTGGGCCCCAGCAGGATGGCACCCACAGTAACCAGGCCAGCACCTCCTCCTCCCATGACACTCCCGGCACCTGCAGTTGCCATTGGGGCTGAGGGACGGGATGGGGGTGGAGGGGCAGCGCTGCCTGGTGCTGGCTCCCTGGGCTTCAAGTAGCAGCAACGTCTCTCTGGGCTTGGATCCCCCTGTGGGGGCAGAGTGACGGGGGTGAGGGGGAGCTGAGTGACTTTGCTGAAGGGGGACCAGACCTTCCAGTGAGGATCCAGATGGCAAGGCCCAGGGGGACTCAGCCTGGACCTGGGAGCCTGAGCGCTGGGCTAGGGGATGGGGGCCCCGCTCCGCTGCCCAAATTTAACCCTGCTCCTGCCGTTGTGGGAGCCCAAACATGGCTGGCAGCGTTGGGGCCGGCAGGGGGCTGTGACCGACGCGAACAGTCCCACAGGGCAGCACGGGACCCGCCTGGCACCAGCCCCATGGCCGCAGCGGGGTCACAAGGATGCATCTTTCCTCCATGTGCGATTTCCGCGGGAGCCCCATGTGGGTCTATGGGCAGCGGAGGAAGGGGCCATTCCTGGGCTTCCTCGGTCTGAGCCCCCCCTTGTTTCAGAAGCACAGAGCCACCTGCCGGTGCTCAAGCCCAGGACGTGTCCAGAACCGAGCAGGGCCCTGGGCCTGGACCCCCTGTTCCTGGCACTGCCGGCCCTTAGCTGCTGCGTGGGATTCCCCCTGGGGGTGACATCCCTCACAGTCCTACAGAGCGGAGGGCAGGCCAGCCTATGGGTTAAATGGGGGGGATAGTGAGGAAATCCCCACCCCCCCAGAACCCCATTCACTCTCCTCCCATCTCTCTGCAGACATCATCCGGCAGCCCTCGGAAGAAGAGATCATCAAACTGGCCCCCCACCCAAGAAAGCGTGGAGGGGGGGGAGGAGGAAGAAGGGGTCGGCTGCCAGGCCCACCACTTTACCCCCCCAGCCCTGCTCCACCACCGTCATCCCCCTCCCCCACCCCACCAGCCCCGCTCGCCCCCCCTCCCCCGCCACTCCTCACCTCGTGCCACCCGATGGTGTGGGGAGAGCTTGGGTCACTAACACAGTCCGAATGCCCCCCTCCCCAGCATGTGTCTGGCCTTGGGGATGGGAGGGCTGATACGGATGAGCCCTAGGGGATGGGGGGGGACATTCCTATGCAAGCGGAGATCCATGCCTCCCCCTCTCCCAGGCTGGGTCTGCACTCATGCGTGCCCCCTTGTTAGGGGAGATGGGGCTGAATCCGAAGGGAACATCCCCCAGAAGAGAGCCCGGAGCGGGGAGGGAGCTGAGGAAGGAGAAGAAAA